CAGGAAAAGGTTTAATCCATAAATTAATTTAAGTTATCTTCGACATATTGACACACCTGTATTACTTTAAATGCTTTCAATGCAAACTCACGATGAAAAATAATAGGATAACGTGTCTTCGACCACCATAAAACATACCATTAATACACTTAAGTAACGAACAAAAATATTGGGAATGAACCGTATTTCCAAAAGTAATTAGGGCCTGAATTTACCTGGAAGGATGGCTTAACACCCAGTGGATTCTCTAAACTACCATATAACCTAAACATTTCCTAGTTATTTGAAGCTCAGGAGAATATGAAATTTCGTCTTTCTAGTTAAATGCCAAAGGAATAACATTTTTTTTAAATTAGCACAAAAATTGATAAATATGCAAAATATGCACCCGATACGTGAAATATGCAGCAGAAGGCAAATATATGCAAATATGCAATTTTTTTATAGCTGCATTCATTTTTAATTAGCATGATTCGTTCACATACAAAATATCAAGACTTATATGCAAAAAATATAGGATATGCAAATTTCATAAAATCCGCTCTCTACTGATAAAACGAGTTTATCTATCAGCCAATAATCGGTAATTAATGAAAGCAGAAAATCTCGGTAACCACATGAGCCAGCTCCACCAAACTTCCCATAAAACTCAAATGCACTCACTACTCACTGCACACCAAAATTCAAAATTTTTTATCAAAAATAACCCACGAAAATTAAAGTTATAGTAGTAAATAATAATCTTTTTAATGTCTAATATTAAAATACAAATTAAGAAGAAAACCGATTCAACCGATCAGTCCGAGTTTCATAAGCCCACGTTTTTCGTCTCGTTGCAACGAATTTCTCTGCTCCGGACTTGACTCCGATTATTCAAAATTCCGTGCCGCGAGAAAACATAAACACATACCGTCGTCGTTACATTACCCCAACTAGTAATACCATGCCACGCCGAAGTACAATCAAAGAGGCTTTTGAGTCCTCGAAATCGCCCGCCACGCCACAGTTCGTAAGCCCACCTATTTTCGACCCCTGTTTTCATGATGCAGAAACTTTTCTTAGGAGCTATGACCGTTGCGCCATCGCCAACGGGTGGGATGAAAATTTAGAAATAACCTATTTCGGTACATTTTTGAGCGGTATTGCAAACCGTTGGTATGAAAATTATATTGAAAACAATACCTCCAGTACCTGGAAAGATATTGTACTAGAATTTAAAGTAGAATTCCCGTTAAAACCAAATAAAGATGCCGAATTTGAATTTGCAAATAGAAAACAATTTAACTCCGAAAGTATTCGAGAATATTTTTACAAACTTGTTAACATATGATGTCGATCCACTCATGGATGACAGTCAATTTATTAAGTATTTTGAAAGGGGTTTACACCCAAAATTTTATACAAACTATCAACTTTCAAAGCATGATTGCACCACTATCTACGATCTTACAACTATTATTGACAAACTAGAAAAAATTGATAAAAATACGTCGACTTCTATAAATGAACTACGACCGAAAACACCATTTTCACCAAACGGTTATGTTAACACACGTTCTCCCCCATTCCCACCCTCCAATCCAAATTTCCGACCTCGACATCCATTTGCACCCAAGTTCTTTTTCAACTCCGTCTTCAAATACGAATAGATTTTCGCGTTTTACACTTCCCCGCAATTTTACAAACATGCAGTACTCATCAAATTTTCAAAATCTAAATAGGTCCCAAAATTTTTCCAGAAACCAAAATCAATATTTACCAGTTACTCGCACAAATAACGGTAGGCCTCGGTGTTACAACTGCAATAGAATAGGTCATTTTGCTAATACATGTCGCTTACAACAGCGTTCTCCCCCAAACGATCAAGGACGCCAAAATTTTTAAATGTACTCCCTGGTAGTGATGGGAAAAACTGCGACTTCTCTGGAACGATGACTGACTGTTCCTGTGACACCACAGTAACAGTTACAAATAGCAGCTACTTTCTGTCACTGTTCTTCGACCAACCGCACTCAGACTTATTGTTCCAAACGTTATACTGGGAATTACAACAGCACGGAACCTTTATGTATTAAGACTTGAGGCAGAATTTTAATGTGTAAATCCGTTTTATTTAAGTAAAGAAAATATTTTATACACATTATTTTTTTTTATTCCTATAATCTACACAAAAAGTAAGGTATTTCATTTTGGTATAAAGCATTATTTATATTTGTTAAAAATATGTATAACCAAACGAAAACCAAAAACGTTGTTTAAAAATGTTTTTCATGGACATAATTTAACTTGATGACATACTTGACTTAGATACTGGTACATTAGCGGACATTGACTATTTTTTCTGATATGTAATATATATAATAAAGCACGTACTGAAAGTGTCGATTACCATCCACATGTGATATCAAATGTCTGCAATGGTTCCAAGCCGTCACTGAATTGCATGTATACAGTTCCAGTAGGCTAGGTCCACGTCTTTCTTTGATTCGACTCCGCTGTAATACAAGTGACTGTTCCTCAGAGTAACTGCTACTTTTAAACATGTGTCACCACGAGGAACGGTGACATGTGAGGAACAGTGACAAAGCAGCAGACTGTTCCTTCACAACCCAACACTACTCCCTGGTGTCCGTCCTTTCTCGGGAGAGTCTTACACTAAAATTCTGACAATTTCAGGGAAAGTAAATAACAAACCCCTACAAATAATTTTAGATACGGGTGCAGCACCCAACGTAATTTCTCAAGAACTGCTTCCAAATTTTATTCCAAACAATCAAATAACTCGCTTTCTAACGGGGCCCGGAAATAACAAAATTCCTATTCTAGGTACGGCACAATTTGATTTAAAAATTTCAAGTATCAATACTACGTGTAACGCGGTGGTAATACCCAACTTCGGTCACTCCCTAATTCTAGGTACACAGTTTATGAGTACATAATTTTAATGCTACTATAAACTTTAAACAAAAAGTTGTAAATTTTGCGTGGAAAAATCGTAACACCACGATACCCTTTTGGGATCTCCAAAATTTTAAACCCCAAAACACTTCTAACCATTTTTATTTTTTTAACAACCATCGGAATACGAGAGCAGATCTCCAAAATGCAGTTCCAAAAAATACAGATAAAGTTACGCGGACATTATCACATAGTAATTTTAGACAACCGACACCGGATACCGAGAAACCATCTGTGGGTTCCACTACTTGCCTTAATTTTACGAGTCACAGTGCCAAAAAATTTTGTAACATAATCGACACAACGTCCAAAAGCGCTATTTCTACCCACCCCAAAACTGTTTCGTCTAACCCACAACTTTTTTCATTCGAAATGTTTAAGTCTTCCCCGCCAACGCTCATAAGTAAATCAAATATGGTAAGGATCTCTTCTCGGCCAAAAAACTCTTCTTCTTACCCGTGTGTATACTGGCAATACGATAAAACGTACTCCGGGTTCCCCACTTTATTGCAAAATAATGAAAATGCACAAACACCCAATTTTCTTCTCATTCTTACCACATTAGACGAAAAATCTTATTGGGACTTATTGTGTAAGTTAAAACACGCCCTTGCCACAAAAAATATTACTAAAATTTACTTCGAAAAATTTTATCCGAAATCTGCAGACAAACATATTATACACAATATGATCGAATTTCTTTTCCAAGACATGTATCTGGACATCCTGGTGTTCGATAGCATTTCCTCTGAGGAAATTGCTGAATCATTACCAGAATTCTTAGTTCATTCACATGAACTCAGTTCATCGCGGTCATTACATCCAAATGCTGAATCAGGTCTCTCGGACTTTGACTTTTTACCTAATTATTTACCCGAGGAAAATTGTAACACAAAACTAACAAAAATACAGTTAACTCAAGATTATCGACTAGACCCCAATCAGCGACTTTCTGTATTAACATCAATATCGCCACCAATTGCTGATGCATCCAATTACACATTCATCCCAAACAGTAATTTCACAGTCCCTCGTAAACTTTTAATCAATGATGCTCAAATTGTAAATTCGGATTTTACACATTTTTCTGTAACATCATTTAATCCCCATATTCTGACCTTAATAAAAAACACCACCATTGGTTATCTTTTCGAAAATCCTAATAATCAACCCTTATATCTACTTAATAATTCTTCTGAAACAACCCCACAAAGAAATTTTGCGATACCCTCTAAGTTATCACCCACTGAACGCGAATGTCTCCCTCAATTATTAGAAACCTATTCTGATGTTTTTGCTGATGATCTTGCCGAAATTGGACATACTAACTTAATTGAACATAAAATTGACGTGATTGATGACACTGCATTCAAAAGTAAACCTTACAAAGTATCACCCGTGGAACGTGAATTTATTCGTACTCAACTGGATGAAATGTTACAACAAGACATAATTCGACCGTCGCACTCTCCTTATTCATCACCAATTGTTTTAGTCGGAAAAAAAGGTGAATCCGGAAAAACTCGTTTTTGCGTGGATTATCGAAAATTAAACAGTATTACAAAAAAATCCAACTACCCTTTGAGCAACATAGACGAAATTTTATCTTATTTAGGAGATGCTAAGTACTTCTCGAGTTTAGATTGTAACGTTTCAATTTTGTTGAAGAAATAAACGTTCCAATTGTTTTGTTTCATCCCTTCTTTAAAAAAAAAGGGTTGTTTTATTGGGGATGCAAATATTTTACGTGCCGACATCTAAGACATAATAGGGGCAATTCTGAATGAAACCTGTTAAAATTTAAAGGTTGTTAAAATTTTAAAGGTTGTTAAAAATGAATTTCTATTCTGTACTGTTTAATTTTGAAGTCCGTTTAAATTTAACACCCTTTAAAATTAAACATCCGACAAAATCAAAATTTACTATTCTAAAACATCAAATTGATGTTAAATTTTAACAAGGGTGTTTAAATGCATCCGTTAAAAGTGACAGTTTTAAAGGATCCCTCGCTAGTACCCTTTAATTAAAAAAAACAATAAATAATGGCGTACCTGGACGGTATTTTACATTTATTTATAGTAAATCATGACGAGAATTCACAAAGAATGTAAGTAGTTATTTGATAAATCATATAAATATTAATTAATGCGATTTTTTAGTTTGCAAAACAACAGAATTCAGCGACAAATGAGGGATGCAAGTAATCCTTTTCATTTACCAGACAGATTATTTTTAAAACTGTTTAGGCTTGACAAACAAACAACTCTAGACTTCATCGACAGTATCAGAGATCATATGGCTCAGCCATTAAAAGGATCAAAAGTTCCAGTTCATTTAAGGGTACTAACAGCTATGCATTTTTTTGGACACGGTTCGTACCAAACGGGAACTGGCCTTCAACATCCCTTGGCAGTTAGCCAACCTACAGTCAGCAGATGCATAGCTGAAGTCTCTGATGTCATTACTAGATTTTTGCTCAATAGATGGGTAAAATGGCCCCGAACTGATGACGAAAAAAATAGCGTGAAACGAGGTTTTAGACTGCTCGAACCACGTTTGCATAATATGCTAGGTGTTATAGACTGCACGCATATTAAAATTATTGCACCATCAGAAGAGCATCCGGTACATCCAGCTGGACCTTATTATTGCAGAAAGGGATATTACAGCATAAATACCCAAATAATTGCGGATACCAATCGCATTATAAGAGCAATCAATGCCAGGTTTCCTGGATCGGTACATGATGCAGCTATTTGGTCGATGTCTGCCGTTAAAAGGATTTTACAAAATAATTTTGTACAGCGCAATGACGAAAATTATTTACTTGGGGATTCTGGTTATCCTTTGGAACCTTGGCTGTTGGTTCGATATCCTCATGTAATACCAGGTTCACCAGAAGAAAATTTTAACGCAACTTTGTCAAGAATTCGAACTATAATAGAGCATGTTAACGGTTTATTAAAATCAAGATTTCGATGTTTACATGAACACCGAGCTCTTCACTATAACCCACGTAGAGCAGCTAAAATTATTTATTCTTGTGCGGTTTTACACAACATATGTAGAGAAAGAAATGTACCGGAACCACCAAACGAGGATTTTCCTCCTGTGCCCCCATTGCGAGACAATCAAGATGTACATCAGATTCCCAGAAACAATGACTGGTATCGTTTGGGTGAAAGATTACGACAAAATATAGTAGAGACTCATTTCCAAAATTAAATCAATATAATACAAATGAACAATTTATTAACAAGAAAATTAACAAAAAAAAAACATATTATAATTGTAATAATAACTAATTTATAATACTACTAATACGGTACTACTAATATAAATATAATTAACTTATTAAAAATCAAATTTTAAATTTAAAACCGGGCTTCTGATTTTACTATTTGCCAACCTAATATTCGATTTAGCAACTGCAAAGTTGCTAGTTGCTAAACGATATAAACATTCCTCGTGGCTGTGAGCCAAAGCTGCTATATCATTATGTGTTTTTTTAAATTTTTTCCCTCCGTTGCCGTCAGCGTCATTTTGCTTGCGCTTTCGTGCAGGTTCTTCTTCATTATGTATCTAGGAAAAAAATACTGTTTTATAATCAAAACACCAAAATTTATTGCCCACGTGGAAACACTGCTTACTGTTAAAAACTCTTCGGTTGCTAACGCCACCTCATTTTCGAGATCGTATCGTTCCTCCTCAAAGATTTCTTCCTCGTAATTTACATAGCTGAAGTTTCCCTCTTCAATCCCGCCTTCTGGTAACTCTGGCATACCTTCTATTACTATCTTATTAATTAGCGAGAGTATTCGCTCCTCGATGTCGGTGAGGTCTTTTTTAAGCGAAGGCCCTCCTCCTGTTCCCTTGAGATGTTGTTTAATTTCTCGTGCCGCCCTTCGTACATTCGTTTTCAAATCATGAAAACTCTATAAATATTATAATTTAATATTAATATACGTTTTGGTATTTTTCATAAGTATTATTTGGGAAAATACTGTTCCTGTTCGATAGACAGCTTGAATTGCCATCATAGATACAAAAAAATATATTGTTCTCACCTTTAACACATACAAAACGTAATTATCACTTATTTACTTTACTGCGAAGTTTACGCTATAGTTACTTTCACAACAAAAAAGCTGGTTTAAAATTTGATGATAGAAAAAAACTACATTTTAATTTTACAAACATTATTTGAATCTGGTAAGCTAAGAACATGTTTTTATTTGTGCCGAAGACAGACAGATTTTGTTAAGTACTATAATGGAACAAATCACTAAATATTACTTACATCTTTCCACTCCTTAGTCGTTTTATTCGGACCTGCTTCATTATTTAACAAACCTGTTAATTCTGCCCACTTTTCTTGACTTTTTTGTTGCATATGCATGTTTTTTTGTTTAGCATTTATCATGAAACGATTGTTTTCAAAAAAAGAAATCATAATTTCTTTTTGTTTTTTGGTCATTCTTTTGCTTGCCATTTTAATTTTTTTTTTAAATTGAATTAATGGCAGAAACCACCTTGAGAACACGTCGAAAATGTACCAAAAACAAAAACAAGTGAAAAATGACATTTAAATGATTTTACTTACCTACTTGATTTTTTTGTTTGCCCGTTGATTAATTTATTTTTCACCTGTCAATTACTGAACGATAACACCTTGGAAATGGTAGTAATTAGCACCCTCGTAATGCTTCAAACAATAATTGCCCGCAAATTACAAGTTAATTTTTATGGTTATTAAATAACAACATAACTACATTTAGAAAATAATTTATTTTAATTAACAATTTACAAACATTTCATACCTACCTAAAAACATAACGAAAATAATTTCTATTCTCATTTCCCAAGTAAAAAATACAATTTTCAATTACTTAACTAAATTTGAGGCTCCTATACTGTCTGTCCTCTTTTATAATTGTGAAGCTTTTCGAGGCACCAGTCTTGGTTACTGCAATTTTGACCACTGAAACAAATCATCTGTCTTCAATGTTGTTGATGCGCAGCTTGGCCAGTTCCTCCCGCATTAAACCACAAAAAGCACCGATTACTGGAGCAACTTTATGCAAGTAATAAAGAGTTATCATTTGGTGCGTTTTTAATAAAAAGTAACACTTCTCCCTCTAAGACACTGGATTTTTTGGAAACATATCATTTTCAGCTAATTTCAGAAAAGCAATCACATGACTGAACACATACATAATTATGTGTTGTTCAATATGAACATCAAATCGGATGATAAAATTTCATAACCTAAAACCAATACATTTTACTTCGGTTTCCTTGAGTATAAACTTACTTACCGTGGAGTTAATTTCTTATAAGTGGCTTCCTGTAGTTAAATATAGTAATTGATGGCAAATTATAAATTATCCAAAAATCCAGAATAAACTTGGATTTGTTTTGAATGTTTTGATTCACTAATTGCACTCCTAACCTCACAAATTGTGATCACCGTTGAGCACGTACCACTTGGTCTCGGTCCGTCTCCGTCTGCTTCTTAATTTTATATTATAATTTATCTATACCAGATTTTATGTTTAAGAAGCTCAATTCCAACAAAATTTGAATTTATGATAGTAAAGTCAAGGCATCTTTAACCTAAAATAGGCCACGAAACACACGGGGTAGTTCGTTTAAACCAAATTAACGAAGTCTTCCGAAAATTTAAACGGATCCGATAAAAATATGTCAATTTTAACATGGTGTTAATTTATCGGGATCCGGAATACCAATTAATATACACATCCGACAAAAATCTTGATTTTTAACAACCTTTAAATTTTAACAGGTTTCATTCAGAATTGCCCCTAATAGGGCCAATTCTGAATCAAACCTGTTAAAATTTAAAGGTTGTTAAAAAATAAACAGCCAATCAGATTTACGAATTTAACTCGTTACTATGGAAATTTGCATTTTAACACCCTTTAAATTTAACAAGTTTGATTCAGAATTGCCTCTAATGGATGCCTATCGGGAGTGTCAAACGACCTCGTGGCACTGCTAATGCGCTGGTACTCCCACCCCGCGAAAAAGAATATTCGAGGGAGTATCGACCTGATACGGGAAGAGAGAGGTTCTCGAGATGTTTTTGGGAGAAGATCCTGGAAGAAGGAAGTGCCAGGACGTAGCCAAAGAGGAGAAAAGAAGTTTTCGGGAAGAGTTTGGTGGGGTTCCTGAAGGAAGGAGGTGCAAGGACGAAGAGGAATTTTATCGTTCGTTTTTTTATCACCGTACCCAAGTGAAGAGTTCCTGGAAGAACCAAGCTTATCGTGATGCCGTTGCAGTGAGTAACTTATTGTCGTCCCTGTTGTTCCCTTGAAGAGACCATATCGAGCCAACGACTTTGATTTTCGCTGCTGTTCCGGCGGAGCCGCCGCTAACCTTGAAGTTTTTCTTCGGATCCAGAGGTCTGTGACGCCGCTGTTTTTTTATCAATTCCAATCCAGACGGAGAGGAGCTGCTGATAACTACGGTTACGAGCTAAGTCCACTCTAACGCCTTATAGCTCTAATTTTCCATTTAGTCGCCCGGTCACAGCTATCTTTATCGAAATTCTCGGAAGTTTTTTTGTTTTTTTTTATTTATCATATCGCAAGATAGTTTTGTACGAGGACGCATGAATACATTTCATTTTCTGCTGTATTATTTTAATATATTTCAGTGATAGTCCCTTCTGGACGTTAATGGTAATTTTTTTTTTTTTTGCTAAATATTAGAGGAATTTCATTTAATCAACACTTGTCAATTTTATTATCCGTTGAATATATTTTTAGTTTTTTTCCTGTGTTTTCTTGTGGCTTGATTCTTCTCGACTGTTTACTCGACGTAGCGGAGTAAACTACCCCAACAGGAAGCTACGTGGCGCCCAATACAAAAAAAAATAATAAGAACTCTCCGAACCGCGACCCGCCCCGGCTAAAGAGCTGCCGTTCGCTGTAAAACTCTCCAAAAGAGGGTTATACAAAATTGACGCACGAACGTGGGGCCAGATTGAGTTTTTTTGAGTTTCGGTGGCCAAGCTTAAGTCACCTAGAGAAGAACCAAACCACAAGGAATTTATCGAGATATTTTTATCATTGGGTATTTACAATTTCGATTGCACATAATAGGAGTGGCCGATATTTTCTGATATTTTTTTGTTTTCTTATACTTGTTTCATCGAGTTGTTTCCCTTGTTTCGACTTTTTGAATTATTTTCTTTGGATCATGGAGGGTGTAATGAAACCCATCCACCTATTAAAGGAGGAACTTAATTATAAATTAAGGATCCGTGGTATTGTATCGGAGAGGAAAGAGGCTAGTCAAAAGCGTAAAATTTTGCACCGCATGATGACGCAAGACGCGGATAGAGCCCTTACATTTATCGACCCTTTATATGCGTTCGAAACAGAAAGAATTGCGATCGACAGAACTCTCGAGTCAATTAAAAATAATGTAGATGAGTTTGAGGGCCCGAAATCGGATTCAGCTTTCTTACGTATTGTTTCTCGTCTCATTCATATAACTAATCGAGTACGGCGCATGCCAATTCCGGAAGAAAACCCGGAAGAAGTAGCAACTTTTAAAAATGAGTCCTTAGCCACGTGCGTAGAATTAGAAGCCATAGTATATGATAAGGTCGAAGGTCAGACCACTAATGAATTTGAATCGTCTTTCCTACGCCAAAGTAGTAATCCGCATGATCTCTTAGTTTCGGTCGCGAAGAGTGCGATCGCCCAAGCCCAATCTAGGAAGATCGATATACATAAATGGGGATTAAAATTCGATGGCACCCCGAGCCAGTTAAATGCCTTTTTAGAGCGAGTAAAAGAATTAGCCGCCGCTCGAGGGGTCAGCGAAGAAAATGTATTTCTTTCCGCGGTAGACTTATTTAGCGGGCATGCTCTCTTATGGTATCGGTCGATAAAAAATACAGTAAAGTCGTGGGAGGATGTAGTCACTGCACTTCGACGAGATTTCTTACCAAGTAATTATGACGACAATTTATGGGAGGAAATTTAAAGCCGTACACAAGGTCGAGGTGAGCCGATACATATCTACATTGCTATTATGGAGTCGCTTTTCTGTAGACTCTCGCGCCCGGCACTTGAAAAAACCAAAATTAAGATTGTTAAGCACAACCTATTGCCCCATTACGCGAGTCATCTCGCTTTAATAGAATTTGACTCTGTAGCGAACTTGGCCATCGTGTGTAGGAAGTTAGATGAAGCTTCGGCCCAACAAAAAAAATACCAACCACCACCTGGTCCATCTAAATTTTTAGAATCTGATCTCGCGTATATTGACACAGCGTCCACTTCTTCTCCATCCGTGAGGGAAATATCTTCGTCTGTTCCAAAAACCCGGCCAAAATCAAATTTAGTTTGCTGGAACTGTCAGAAACCAAACCACACCTTTTCTGAGTGCAGATTAACGCGAAAACGATTTTGTTTCCGTTGTGGAAAACCTGGCTGCACCGTGAAATCTTGTACGGTCTGTTCAAAAAACTAACTCACGAGGCGTGCGGAGCTGGTCGCCATGCGTCTCCTTTCACACAAATCAAGGCCTATAACGTATCCATTTTATCTAATGAATTTAAAGCACAACCGTTAAAATACACTTCTTCCACAGAATGGGATTCATGGCTGCGTAAAGTCCATAATTTTTGTACGTTTCGTTCTGTTACTCGCTCTCTTACGTGTAGTTCCGAGTCATTGCCAAAAATAACGCCCGTTTTCGTTGAGAAACCTTGTGATAACAGACCTTATCTCAAGTATTAATCTTTGATTTTCCCGTAGTAGCCCTTCTAGATAGTGGTGCTAATTCTTCAGTCTTGGGTAGCGAAGGCATTCATCTGTTGCACACCTTTAATGTTAATATTAGTCCAATTTCGCAAGCTGAAGTGACTGTCGCAGATGGTACAAAACAAAAAATAATTGGTAAAGTTGAGTTGACTATCAAATAAAATGGACAATGTCGGTCTCTCCCTATATTGGTAGTACCTACCTTATGTCATTCATTAATATTAGGCAGTGATTTCTGTAAAGAATTTGGCTTGGTTGTCAATTTTTCTAATAATTCTTGGTGTATTAGTAATCAGAGTGTCCAGAAGATCAATACACAAACTATCTCGTGTCCTACCGGTAGTTCTAAGAGTTGGCGACATGGTTTGGAATCATTATCAAATCTGTCTAGTGACGAAAAGTTGCAAGTTGAACGAGTTCTTGAACAATATAAAAAATTATCGCCAGAAGGATGTCTTAGAAGAACCAACAAGATCACACACCATATTGATACCGATGACGCGAAACCTTTCCGCCAGAGACAATACCAAATGTCTCCGTTTATGTTGAAACATCTGAATCGCCTCCTTGACAACATGCTATCGATTGGAGTAGTTGA